TAAAAAAAGAAAAATCTTCTTAGTTAATACATTCAATACTTTGCAATTAGTGTACTAAATTAATTGCACTAAATGGTAGTAAGATGGACAAAGTATAGTGAGCTTCTAGTGACAGTGTTTTAAGAAATTACTGCTACAAATGCCACCTTTATTGGACAAAGTAGACTGCCAATGTTGAAAAGGATGTTTTCTAAGGGTGGTGTCTCTGTGGCAATAAAAGCCTTAAGTAAGACAGTGAGATCACCTGGTGCAAGCGACAACTACCAGCTAAGATTCCAGAAAAGTAAAGAATGAGGTTCTTCAACATGAGGTTTTTCATTCCACAAAATTCAACATGTATATTTCCTACCTTTAATTTTATAAAATAAAACAGGTCTTACTACAAAGAATTTGAGGAAAAGATGAAAATCCTAGAGATTTCATGGATTAGAGGATAGTTTATGAAATTCTGATTTATCATCTAAATATAAAGGAGGACTGAACACCAACTTATTCAACCAAAACTTAACTTTACAAAAATTTTCTTTACTTTTATTCAATTCCTATTTACTTTAAGTAAAGAAGCTGAAATTATAATTTCTCAAGTGATAGAATTTAATTATAAGCTCTGTGAAGAAGGAATCAAGTCTTTGTCACAAACAGTTAAGCTTATGCCCCACAGAGGGTCTTTCTGTAAAAGCCCTCAAAAGAGAGGCTAAATTAATAAACACTGTCATGAATGACCATAAAAATGACTATTACATGAGTGACCTAATGCAGTGACTATTTAGTAGGCAGAAAAATGACTGATGAAACAAATTTATTAGATTATCTTTTGTGTCCTTGTTTATAGACAAAGACCAAATTAGGTTATAAGTAAATGCAGAGTGATCTCTGACAGAATAGAGCCAGAAATTATATCTGTAATTCATTCTAATTAAGCATACCACAGAGTGCCACAAGTGTTTAAATTATTCATCAATGATTTCAGTTACAATAAGAAAAATGTCATTAAAGTAATTGAATAAATGCAATTATATCATCTCATTTACTAATTTACTGACTTACACAACTCTGGCTTCAGTTAATTACTTAAAATGATGCTGTGCATAAATGTGTGTATAACCAAACACACATGTTTATAATGCTAGATTCAGTCCTATCTAAGGAATAATTTGTAAAACTGTAGGAATTATTAACTATAGAATATAATTGTATTGTTGTATCACTCATAACTTTTCAATGAGGGAATTTTTTGCTATTTCTTATATACTATGTATCAAGAATTATACAAGGCTGTAGCTATAGGTACAATATACACATAAGCATATTTTTATATGTATGACTAGACTATATATACACACACAGTCATGTGTAACATCTCTACATATAGAGAAATAACTCACAATAACACTTCAAGTATAATTCTACCTTGTATTACAAAATTTCAGTTTAATTGTCCCAGCCATGTAGCAAATAAGAAACAAAGCTAAAATTTCTCTGTAGAAACTGTAGGTTAAGAATCCTAAAATAGTATGCTGGAATAGTTATGTACATGAAGATTAATGCATCAACCAAAAAATATACAGTATGTACTGCTGTATGAAGGAGAAATTTAAGTGAATAGATTGGCCACTTATTGTGGCATCACATTATTTACCATATAACTTTAATTATAAACTCAGAGGTAAAGTGTCTGAGTTTGCAGAAGATAGTAGAAAGTTTACTGACATATGGGAAAATGAGCTCATCTGGAGGGTATTCAGATATGCAGACCCAAATTCAAACTCATTTGCACAATCAAAAGCAATAAATAATTATATTATTAATATAGTTGTTCTACAGAGAACTGTGTGAAATTGGAGAGGTATTAAAACTTACATGAGTTATAGGTAAGTTGCCATATAGGCTCTAAAAGGGTTGGACTTTTTAAACACTTTTAATTCCAGAAGTTCCACACAACAGCTTGAAGTTTGATATCAGATGTGTTCTTCTCATACTACTATGTTACTTCCTACAGTCTTTTTTAACAGGAAGGAAAGACAAAAAGAGTAATTTTATCCCAGTGGGGCCATTGCTCACAAGCTTTTTTAAAAAACCTGTAGCCTAGTAAATATCACGTCTCTCTAGGGATTTGCATATTTAAATTCACATTCCCATTGTATGTGTACATTAGTTGTTCTGAAAACCTCTTACAGTTAGTTTTCATTCATTGCCTAAGAAAATTTATTCAAAGGAAAGACTTACGTTTTTAACATGGTAATTGGATTCTCATAAAGTAACTTTATTCTCCCTACAGGCTCAACTTAGTGCTATTAAGATACCTGTAAAATACATAATGTTTCAAGTCACAAACTACATAAACAATAGGTGAAACAAATGAGTACAATATTGCAAAACTATAAATCATTTAGATAAAGCAATGCTTCTTCTTCTGCATCTCTCAATTAAATTTAATTCAGAAATTTATAGTTGAATGGCAACTACATGTAAAACCACAGAATTAAAATTCAAGATGTATTAAGACAGAAGATTTATCTGCAAGTACTTTGCAATTTAGAAGTGCAATGAAAGAAGATAAAAATTTAACATAAAGGGAAATTTAAAATGTGCATATTATAAGTATAAACAAAATTATTTAACATTGGAAAACATTGTATTGTGTTGGGAGCATGTGAAAGAAAAGTACAAAAAGGAAGAAGAGGGTGAAGGAAAAGGAGAAGCACCTTAAATGAAACATGAGATTCACAGGGCAGAGGCAAGGACTGAAGGAAGATCATACAATACACATAGCTTGGAATAGACCAATGAGTGAGTGAAAAACAAAACAAACCTAAGTGACCCAAGACTAACTGCTCCAGCTTGGCTGGAGCATAGCATATGTCAGAGAGTTTTACTAGACAGTATTTTGGAAGGTCTTAAACACTGACCTTAGCATCTGTATTAATTTGTTGGAAATAAAATGTTACCCATGATTTTGCTGTAGGGAAGGTGCAGTAGGAATACACATCCAAGCGTTATGGGATTAACTGGAGGAGAAAAGAGGCAAGGGGTGAGTAGATGCAATGACACTGAATATACACAAAGCAGAAATAAAGGAATTAACATTTCAGATATAGGATCCTCTTATTTGATCAACTGATTGGACACAAGAGTCAAGAAAGGGAGAAAAAACAGAAAGAATAGAAAATAAAAATCGAAGAGCTAAGACTTGGAAAGGACAAGAGGAATTTTCTAGTTCAGATTTCTAACTGATCCATGGAGCCCTGGAGGTGCTGTGAAGCACCCCTATTCCCCTGGAAGAGACAGTGGCTCTGGAGCTCACCCTTTCTTATGTGCTAGACCAGAGCAGCTTTCTGTTTCTGTTTAAATAGTAAGCGCTCCCACCCCCATACTTCCAAAACATCTAAACATAATTTTTTTTTAGTTTAAGAAGACAATTTGGGCTGGGGATTTAGCTCAGCGGCAAAAGCGCCTGCCTGGCAAGCGTAAGGCCTGAGTTTGGTTCCCGGTACCAGAGAAAAAACAAAAAAAAAAAAAAAAAAAAAAAAGACAATTTATTTATCTGTTTGTTTCTTCTGCACTTAAAGAAATAGAATGTGAGGTGTTTGAAGTGTGAAACAGATTTGAGACTGAAAAATAGGCCTCTGGTTGAAACCTTAACCTTTTCTACAAGAACTGGCAGATTTATTAAACCAATGGCAGTATCATAGATTACCCCATACATTAACAGTATTTGGCAGATGCCATAGGTCATCATTAGTGACTGTCTATTACTTTATGGGGAAACACGATTGACAGAAACTACAGACGTGGCATGAGTGACTTTTAGTTCCATTATTTGCAGAGTGCCTTTGGCCTTAATTTATTATTAAAATACTGTTCATTTAATAGTATTATCTTATGTGTACCATATAAAAGGGAATTTTTAAGCTTAGTGGATATAACAAAACATGAAACAAACTAAGCCCATGGCCTCCGCGGGGAGCGCTGGTCTCCCGACTGGTTCGCTCCCTGCCTCCTGGGCGCCAGGAAGGAGGGCCCCCGGCACAGGGGGAGCCACACTGTGGCCAGCCGCAGCCAATCAATTGAGAACAATCATGACACAGAGAAACAATGACACAGTTGGCCCACCATGCACCAGCTGCAGATGCCCACCCACCGACGTGTGTGAATCATTCAAACATGGAGAAACCCCTGGGAATACATGCCATGCAACGGGTCACTCTTGCTCCTGCCGTTGAGAACTAGAAAGGTCCAGAGTCAGTGGAGGAGCAGCTGCTGAACAAGGACTCAGAGAACATGAGA